CAATATATAATTCCAGAACATTTCCATCACCCCAAAAAGTAACTGTACAACCCACAGCCCCTGACAACCACTAACCACTTTCTGTCTCTGTGGATGTGCCTGTTCTAGAAATTTCCCATAAATGGAATCACACACTGTGTGGCCTTGTATGTCTGGCTTCTCTCCCTGAGCACCGTGTGTTCAAGGTCCATCCACATTGTGGCAAGTGTCAGCGCCTCCCTCCTTTTCATTGCAGAGTGACACTCCTGTGTGTGGATGGACCACACTGTGTTCGTCCATTCATTTGTCAATGGACATTTGGGTTGTCCGATAGCTGTTTCATCCTCTTCATGGTCTTATAAATTACTTAATCACTTATTATTAGCATCCCACAGTTGCCCCCTTTTTGAATGTGTACTCAGTACATATTTGCTGAATGAATGAGTTTTTCTTCCCCAGCACATACCACCTTCCTATACCCCTCACTTCTGTTTATTGTCTGTCTCCTCCCTCACCAGGACACCAGCCTCACGAGGGCAGGCATTATTGTCTGTTTTGATCACCGCTGTGTCCCCTGAGCCTGAAACACTGCCTGGCTCAATCAATTCTCATTGAATGACGAGTCAAATGAAGGGTCATTTTCCCTTCCAATCAGATCCCTCTGTCAGCCCCACAAGACCAGCAGTGTGGGGATCATCAAATGCCTGTTTTTCCAAAGGGGAAAAGAGGTCTGAGGGACCTATTGAGTCTGGACCTGGGATGTGTCATGGGCATGATCACCAGTTTCATGTGTGCAATTATTCAGTTAATGGCATCGTCCTCCCTGAGGGCAGGCATCATGCCCTCCTGGCTTCTGCGGGGCCTGGCAGACCAGAAGTGCCTGAAATTAATTGCTGTTGCTGTAAATGTTAATGAGGAGGTAGGTAGAGGAGGGAGGTGTGGTTTAGAGCTCACTGGGCCAGCCAGTCACAGCCAGGGGCCCAGAGAGGGGCAGGTCTCCCACTTGAGTGACACAGCATTCATAGGAGAGGGACGGGAACCACCACACTGCAGACACCAGCTGCAGAGAAGGCTCCATCGGAAGAGGAGGTGGGAAGGCTGCTGGAAGGGCGGGCACCCCCTACACACCCTCCCCCCTGAAGCCCCCCAACCACTCCTACTCATCCCTATCTCCCTGCCTTTGCCTGTGCAGTTTTCACACTAGCCATGCCATCCCTTTGTTCTGTACCCAAGCATCTGAGAGAGAGCTTTCTGAAGAGGATGCAATTCGAAACTTCGGAAGCTTTGGCAGGGTCCCAGGGAAAAATTCAGCAGCACAGCTGCCTCTGGGGGCTGGGAGGGGAGGGGGGGCTTGCAACTCCTTCCCACACCACTTGGAACTCTCGTAAGATGTCAGCATCCCAGAAGGAGGCCACCAGGCCAAAGCAAGCAGGTGCAAACTGGAACAGCCCACACCTTGACTTCTCCCCCTGTCCCTCCCACAGCCCTGACCTCTGCTCCTCTTAGATATCCTTTCTTGGCTCTCCTGGCTGTCTGTGAAATTAACCACATGCCCCAGCTGCCCCCACATCATGGACTCTCCCATGACTCACAGCTACCCATGGCTCCCCAGTGCGCTCACGAGGGGACACACACTCCTTTGCCAGCATACCTGATTTGGCCCCTAGAAATTTAGCCAGCCTTTTCTGTAACCCTCGGTCCCTCCCCCAAAGGCAGCCTGGGCTTTGGCTCAAGCCACCAGCTTATTCTCCTTTACCTCAAGACTTCTGCAGATGCCATCCCCGTTGCCCATGTGCCTTAGAGAACATCTACTCATGCTTTCGGCGTTGAGGTCCCCTCCCTGTTCAGCAAGCGGAGGCCTCACGCCCCATCCTCATGCCTCCCACCGCCCCCCTTTCCGGTTCCTGTTTCTCCCTTTGCCACAAACTAATCATGGGGTTGGGGGACCTATTTCTAATTCTAAAGCCCCGTCCACATCCTGGGATGCTTGAGCCTCTCTGGGATCCCAGCATCGCCCAGCACAGGTTGGTTTACAGCATTTTTGTTGAATGAATGAGTCCATCAATGAATATGAGATACATTTCAAAAACTCCAACTAAGCACTCCAAGCTTTTCATCTTCATCTCTACCCAGAGTCTAGCTACAAATATATTCTTTCTTCTTTCCCAAGCTGGCCAGCCCCTCTTTTACTTCCACGACTTAGTACATTCTTTTTCTCTGCTCCTGCTCTTTTCCTGGCTGCTATCCCACTCGGCAAGCTCCTATTCATCTTTCAAAACCCAGCTTTTAGGCGCCCTCCTCTGAAGCCTCCTATCACCTGTGCTGAGTCCTGTCATGTTTCCTTCTTCCTTCTTCCATACCTTGACCACATGGGGCTGGGCTCCCCCCACCCCAGGCTCAGAAGTTGCCAGCAGAGCAGGGAGAAAGCCAAAGAGTCTCCAGAGAACAGTGCTTTCCAACTACATGTCATGACTCCTAAGTGGATCATGATGAGATCCACATGAATAGGTTTTTTTAAATTTCTGCTACATATTTTCTTTCATTTATATCTTTAGATCAAAAGCATGCTTTTAAATAGCTGCGTAGTGTTTCAGCAGAGTATATTCAACCCTACACAGAATAGTGAAAATGTTACGGCTCTTTTTTTATTTATCCATTTACTTATTGAAATTACAAATGACTCCATATATAAATAACTTTGTACATAAATCTTGCAATCTGTTGGGATTATCTCTTTGGTGAAAGTTCCTAGAGGTACAATGAGTCAGGGGGAGGTTGTTTGTAAATCCATGTCTCAACACAGGTTGTCAAATTGCCCACAGGAAGCTGCAAAATGAGTGTGCTCACATTCACTACAAAATAAACTCATTTTTAATTCCTGATTTGAGAGACCCAAAGGAAAAAAAAAATCTTCTTGTTTTCTATTTGACTGGTTTTTTTTTTATATATGTAACTATATCAGAGGCTAGCAAACCACAGCCCTTGTGTCAAGTCCAACCCACTGTCTTGTTTTGTTTGGTTGATGAACTAAGAATGATGTTGAAATTTTTAAAAGGTCGAAAAAATGAAAAGAACAATAAATATCTCGTGACATGTGAAAATTACATGAAATTTACATTTTGGTGTCCACAGATAAAGTTTTATTGGCACATGGCCACGCTCATTTGTTTACATGTCACCTGTGGCTGCTTTCCAGCTACATTGACAGGGTTGAGCCATTTCTACAGAGATCAGGTGGCTCCAGAAAGCCATCTGGCTAACCCCCATGGTGACGAGTTTGGGACGCTCAGAAATATTTGGGAGGAGGACATCGTGGGGAAAGCCTTTATAATACAACTCAGTTCCTCATGCCCTAACCTGTCTGCTAGAGCCTTTTTGATAGAAGAGAAGAGAAAATACCCAAGTGTGCTCCCACCAGGGAAAGGTAAGTATTGCTTTGTGAAACGTTTGTTTCTGTTTGATAAGTATCTGGAAATGCAGGTACTGGGTGATGATGGTGTAGAAATCTCATATGTGTCATGAACAGAAAGCATTTGAGACCTGCAGCCTTGGAGACCCTCTGCGGGTTGTTCAGTGTACTGCATTTAGAGACGGGCTGAAGGACGCAATGCGGGAGAGCGTGTGGCTAGACCCGGCAGAGCCCACACCTGAGCCAGCCCTCTCTCCACGCCTTCTGTGGGGTGGGCTGGATGTTCTGGACCACAGGGGCTGCCAGGGAATGCAGAGAGGAAGGTTCCAAAACCTGAAACCCTCTTCTCAACCTCCAAGGATCAGCAGTTCAGCCCCCTTCCATTTTTCAGGTGAGAGTGCTGAGGATCAGAAAGGGTCAGTGTCTCTGGTCATGAGGAACAAGAGCCAAGAAGATCACAGGTTACCCTTGAATTTCAAACTCCTCCTGCCTTCCAGATCTGGGAAGCAATGAGGTCAAAGCTAACAGGGTCAGAGCAACCTGATCATTCTGGGTCTGGGCTTCCCCTCCCCCAGTCACCAAAAAACTCTCCTGGACCCTCCTCACTCAAATCCCAGCTCTAAGTGCCAGGGTGACCCTGGGCATATCTTCAACCTCCCTGAAAGCCTGTTTCCTCACCTGGAAAATGGGATTAACTCTACATACAATATAGGGTGCCTAACTCCCAATGTCATTGTGAAGATTAAGTGAGATTGTTCATGTCAAATGTTTAGTGCAATGCCAGGCACACAGTAAGCAACAATGAAGGCCATTCTTTGCAAAATTCCATTGCTCACCATTTACTGATCACCTACTATGTGAAAGGCACAGAGCAAAGCACGTTGCCTGAGTTACCCACCATCCCAGAGGCTCCAGGAAGGCAAGCATCCTGCCTTGTTCACGGCGGTGTCCCCAGAACCCTGCACAAGGATAGCATAGCCACAGGTATCTTTGGCTGCTTGCATCTTTCAGGCTTTGGTTAAATGCCATTGCCATGTAGGCATCCAAGATTTGGGGTCCCTTCTAGTGTGGCCACCACCATAGGAGGGGCTGGGGGAAGGATGACCAGCTGTCCTGGTGTGCCTGGAACTGAGGGGTCTCCTGGGACATAGGACTTACAATGCTGAAACCAGGACAGTTCCCAGCAAACTGGGATGAGTTGGTCACCCTGGGCTGGGGGTACAGCTGAGAACAAAGCAGGCATAGTCATCTCTTCCAGGAAGCCCTCCCTGATCCATCCCTCCCTGCTTGCTCAGGGGCCACCTCTGGGCCCCCCAAAGATGCCTGTGCGCCCCTCATTACAATGCCATCACCCTGGGTTGTAAATGCTTGGAGTCACTCTTTTCCTGGTCACTGCTGCCTTTCCAAACCTACTGCAGAGCCTGATGCCAAATAAAGACAAATAATGAATGAAAAGCCAGCACTCCTTGCCTGGCAGATGAGCCAACTGAGGCTCAGAGGTGCGAACCACTCAAACAGGATTCCCCAGCGAGGATGTGGAGGAGCCTGGCTTTGAACCCAGGCGTAGTGAGACTCCATCACCACCCAGCCCTCCCGCCCGGCAGGCCCTCACCGTGTTGTAGAACTCGGCCACCAGTTCCGAGTGCTGGAAGTTGCTCTCGCACCAGTCCACCTCAGAGCTCTGGTAGGCGAAGATGCTGGGCATGGTGACGCAGTGCCCGCTGCCCTTGGCTGCATCTGGCAGAGAGCAGCTTGCGAGCCTAGTAGGGCTGGGCTCGGGTGAGGCGAGGGGAAGACAGCTTGGTGCCCCATGGCAAGCCGAGAGGAAAAACCTGCTGAGCAGCTCCCCAGTTGCACCAGGGCCACCTGGCAGTGCGGTGGTGGCCGCCCTGGGCATAAGCAGAGGGGCTGGCACCATCCAGGCGGGAAGGGAGTGGGTCTGTAGGGGGCCTCCCATTCCTGCACACTAGGAGTGGGAGTCAGGGGGACTGTGTTAGAACACAGCATAATTTAAAATAACAATAATAATGAGCTCACTGAGATGAATGTCCTTGCTATTCCCATTGTACAAATAAGCAAACTGAGGCAGAGAGAGCAAAGTCACTTGCTGAGGGCATGCAAGGTGGTAATGCCAAGATGTGAAAACAGCCTGGCTGAGTCCAGACCCCACGCTCTTAACCATTCAGTTTTACCACCTCTACACCATCAAAGTGCCATGCTGTTGCTTCCCATATCAGTGGCAAACAGCTGCACGGCCACTCTGGTGGGCTCAGCTCAGCTCCCTTTGAGTCCTCCGACGTAACCTTGCCCAGTCAACTCTCTTTTGGGAGCCTCAGTCTTCCTGTCTGTGCTATGGGAGGTTGGACTAGATTGAAGCCATTTTCTTGGGCAGTCAAAATCTCATATGCCTACAGAGTCCCAAATTCTACCAGGGGCCACCTTCAAAGCCCCCATAAGGGGAAGAGTCTGCAGAGTTCCAGGTCTGGGGTCCCTGGTTCTGGTTTCCAAGGGCTGCGGAAAGCTCTGGTTTTAGAGTCAGACAAGGCCTGAGTTTGAAATCTGAGTTCTTCCCCTTCCTAAGCTGTGTGACCTTGGGCAAGTGAATTCACCTTTCTGTGCCTCAGTTTGTTTACCTGTAATATGGGGAGGGATGTAATAGACCTCACTGTTATGAAAGCACACAGAGATAAGACAAGTTAAGGACTTAGCTCACTGTCTGACTCAGAGTGGGCCCTGTGATAAATGGTAATAGGTTTTCTTATTGTAGCTGACTTTAAACTTTAAGGCAACCTTATAGGAATAGTAACAATAATGGCAAACTTTTATCAACTACCTACCAGTGCCAGGCTCTTTTCTAAGGGCTCAACATACAATATTATCTCATTTAATGTTCTTAACAACTCTAAGGGAGACAAACTACAGTTATCTCTAGGTCACTAGGAGGAAACTGAAGCCCAGAGAAGTTAAGCAATTTACCAAAGGTCATACAGCTGGGAAGTAAGAGTGGAACAAGCCACTTTGCCTCTTTGAGCCTGAGTTTCCTCACCTGTAACATGGGAATAATAATAGTACTTCATTCTTAGGGTTTTTGTGAAGATTTAATGAGCTGATAGTGTTTCCCTAGGAAGATAATTTGGGGTGATACGTGGACCGGCATTGGGAATCGCTGAACTATGCGGCAAGTAATCCACTCCCTTTCCAATTCTCAATAGTTGGAGGAGAGGGGCTCAGTTAGTGCTAATATCTGTTTAGGCCTCTTGACACTTAACTCCCGTCCTTGCTAAAAGGCCCTTCAACAGTATCCAGCTGGAATATTGTGACATTGTTGTTGTTTTTTTAAATTATTTTATTGGGGAATTGTGGAAGGGATACAGTGTTGGGGAACTGGGGAAGGGGAACATCCAAGTTATTGTCCTTCAATCTTAGTTGTGGAGGGCGCAGCTAGCTAAGCTCCAAGGCCAACCAGGCAGCTGGGCAGCTCAGCGGCTGCTCATCTCAATAAGCCCACCTGCAGCATTGTATTTGTTTTTAAATAAGCTTGTCTTAAGGCTGGCCATATCTCACTTGTCATTCATGGCAGGGCTACAAATTTTCTTTTTAAAAACAAATAGATTTAAGCTTTATAATTCTGGAGGTGGTTACATAAATCTACATATGTGAAGAAATTGCAGACACACATGAATGAATGTAAAAAGTGTTGAAATCTGAGTAAGGTCTGTAGATCATATCAATGTAAATTTGATGGTTTTGAAATTGCATAGTTACATAAGATGTATCATTGGAGAAAACTGAGTAAAGTGTACACAAGACCTCTTTGTACAATTTTGGCAACTTCTGGTGATTGTATAGTTATTCCAAAATAAATATATATTTTTAAGTAATGAGTTAGGTTTTTAATTGGCAGATGAATACACCAACAAAGTGTGGTCCATCCATATACTAAAATATTATTCAGCCTTCAAAAGGAAGAAAATTTTGACACGCATGGTACAACATGGATGAACCCTGAGGACATGATGCTCAGTGAGATAAGCCAGACACAGAAGGATAAACACTGTGTGATTCCACTCATAGGAGGTTCCTAAAGGAGTCAGACTCATAGAGACAGAAAGTAGATGGTGGTGCCAGGGGCTGGGGGAGGGTTTAAAGGGGACAGATTTCGGTTTGGGAAGATGAGAAAGTCCAGGAGATGGGTGGTGGAGATGGTCGCACAGCAATGTGGGTGCGCTTAATGCCAGTCAGCTGTGCACTTACAAATATTGGGTTGTCGGAAAAGTCATGACATATGTTTTCTATGTTTTTCGTTGCAAAAATGCGTCATGACTTTTCCGACAACCCAAT